GACTGAGGTAGACTTCATTGTCTGGGCAGGGAGCCAAGAGAGAGGAAGACAGAAGACAGGTGTGTGTGGGGTGGGAGGGAGCGGAGGACCTGCCCAGCCAGGTCACTGGAGGGAGCATTCCAGGAAAGGACTCTGTCAGAATGAAGGCAGACTGGGCTGCAGATTTTCTTTCATGTTTACCCAAGTCAGAGCAGGTGGAAGGACTGTGTCGCAGGGGAAGGAGAAGGCCCTGGGAACACAGACTTAAGACTGATACCCAGCCTTGTTAAGCTGTGCTGGGCGTTGGAAAGGGCCAGCCTGGGGACAGCGGTGGGGCGGGAGGGGGGAGGGTGAGGGAATGAAGAAGAGGGCAACAGGTGACCCTCTACAATACTGGGCTGGCAGGTGAGCACTTCACAATGACAACCCAGAGGAGTTAATGTCAGAGAGGATTTAAATTACAGGAACATTTCTTAAGCATGTTCAGTCTGCAACCCTCCTATGACCTTGTCAGTACAAAAGCCCATTCAGCCACGAGGGACACCTGTTCAAGGAGGGGCTCCACCCCTCCAGGATAGTCACTACTGCGTTCTCTCTCTCTTTACCTCTCTGTTTCTGTCTCTCTCTCCCTCTCTTCCCATTTGCTATCCTCTTTTCATAGCTGCTACCATATTACTCCTTATGATCTGAGAGCCAGGTATGGTGGCTCATGCATGTAATTCTAAGTATTCTGGAGGCAGAGCTTAGGAGGATCACAGTTTGAGTTCCACTAGGCAACATGTTAGTGAGACCCCCGCCCCCTCCATTTCAACCAATAAGCCAGGCAGTGGTGCCATGCATCTGTGATCCCAGATATTCAGGAGATCTTAGGAAGATCAGTGTCTGAGGTTTTCCCTAGGCAAAAATTCAAAAACTATAAAAATAACTAAAACAAAAACAAAAAAAAGCTGGGATGTGGCTCAAGTAATAAAGCATCTGCCCAGCAAGTAAAATACCCTGTATTCAAACCTCAGTGCAACTGAGAAGGCGGATTTAAGTTCATACTTTGGAGAACCTATTGCTCTGTTCTCTGCCCCCATCATCTTCCTAGGATCAAGCTCTCCAGGGCTGTTCAGCAGGTGACCGAGTCACTTAGCATGGAGTCTTTCACATGATGGGAGCCAGCAATTGTACTGAATCTAAAGGAGGTAGCAACTCCATCCTACTGAGGGTTCAAGGTTTTGTTCTCAAGTAGCATCAGGGCACAGCTGATCTAATCTAGTTACCTCTGTACCCCTGAACCTGGCACAGTGTCTTGGCACAGAATTCTAGACCTATGGGCAAGTGTGTATGTGTACATGTATGTACATGTGTGTATACAACACCGATACAACAACCCATACTGGTTGTCTCTTCCTTCCTAGTGAAGAGAAGCATGCCCTATGGGTGGGCATCTGCAGGTTTCCCAGACTGACTGCTTGGTCCACAGGACTTTCTTTTCTTTGCTAACTGGCCTATGTCCTCCTCTGACTCTCTCAGCCATTTAAGTCTGGGTTGTACCCACTGCAGGTTAAAAGTAGGGATAGGAAGAGAAGTGCCTGACTTTGTCCTGAGCCTAGAGTAGTAGGCTATCAGGAAGCATTAGCCAAGAGCAAGACAGAACTTTCTGGAGAAAGGAACCGCTCAGTATCTGGTTTCCCTGAGTGTTTGCACATGTCAAAACTTTTAATGCTGTATACTTAGGATGTATACATCTAATGCTATGTAAATTTAAAATTATATGTTGACTAAAGATATCTCAGAAGACTTGGAGCTATCATTGCTCATCACCATGAAGGTCAAGGGTCACCTGGGAGCATTAGCCTGGGGGGGACAGGGATGGACATGGGGTCAAGCAACTTAGACCTGTGAGAGCTCATGAGCTGTCTCCTTCCAGGAAACTGGACTTCAACAAGTACCCTGGCCTATTCCCAATATTCTCAATACCTGCATGGGCCACATTAGGCATTCACTTAACCAGAAAGTTCATGGTTATGGAGAACACTGCCCTTGCCTGGTAGCATGTTTTAATTTTTTTTTAATCAGTGGTGGGCCTGGGCGCAGTCCCTCAGCTCTTCAGGTCAAGGTTAGCACTCTACCACTTGAGTCACAGCACCACTAACAGTTTTCTAGTGGTTAACTGGAGATAAGAGTCTCACTGACTTTCCTGGCTGGGCTGGCTTTGAACCTTGACCCTTAGATCTTAGCCTCCTGAGTAGCTAGGATTACAGATGTGAGCCCCTGGCACCTGGTACCTTAGACATTTTGACAGCCTTCATTACCTCATTTTATCCTCATACCATTTTGAGAAGGCATTCTCTTCAAGAATGAGAATGCCACCCCTGATATACAGAGTTATGGTAGAAGATTCCATATTTGCAAATTCAAGTAATTACTAACACGTATTTGTGACTCTAAATCAGCGCTTGTGGCATTTTGAGGTCACTCATGGACAACACAGAGTGGCAAGATTTGGATGATGCATGTGTTTCTCAGCTGAGGCTAGCCAAGATGATATTATGCTTTCTTACTTCAGCAAAAATATAGAGGTCTGTTTACTGCCCTATCTCCTAAGTTTTGCACTTTTTGTTGATAATTTCATTTTTTTAAGTGGCCCAAGTGTGGTACTAAAGTGCCTTCTGGTGTTCCAAAAGCACATGAAGGCCAGGGTGTAGCAGAGGTAGAACACATGTGTATACAACAAGCTTCATGGAGGTACACAGTTACAGTGCTATTCATCATGAGCCCAGTGTTAATGAATCAACAACGTGTGCAGAGCAAGATGACTTGAAAAAGAAACACACATAAAAAACAAGGTTGTGTGTTAAGCTACTGATGGAAATTTCCAGAGCAGAGGGTCCCAGGAACCTAGCCCTGTATTTCTTCTAGGAGCAATGGTTTGGTATTTCCTAATTCAGTATTCCCAGGACTTTATAAAATATCACTGCCACACATAATGAAAATCGATTGTACTTGTCTAACGTCCTGGAGGCGTGCAAAGCATGAGAACTAGACTCCACTGATTTCCACTCCATGTAATCCTCCCAAGGCGCCCTATTGCCTTTATATGCTGGCTCCTTCTGTGGGCCCCGGGGCAAGGAGCGCTCTGTGGCAGCAGTCAGAGCCAGGTTCCAGACTTGTGCAGCCTTTGTTCTAGGCAGGTGTGCTTCCTAAGAGCCAGCATTGGCAAGAACATATACAAATATAACATGCAGCCTTGAGAAGAAGATGCAATGGCAGGCTAAATCAGGTGAGGGGAATCACAGAAGTTGCCAGAAAGGCAAAGGCCGCTTGAAGCAGAGATACCTTCCCAGAATGAAAAAGCATGTTGTTAAAGGTTGTTAAAGAGAGCTATCTGGAAATCACTAGGACCAATCAACACCTAAGAGGCAGGATGTTTATGCACTTCATCTTTGCCCAGCCTTGTGGTGATCCTTGTCCCACCCTATCCTGCATGTTATAGCCCTCTGTGGATCACCAAGCACTTTCATCCGCCTCAGTGAGGTAGGCAAGCTGGGCATCACTGTCTCCAGTCTTCAGGTGAGGAGACCAGGATGCTGGGATGTGGAATGTGGATTTGCTGGCAGATGCCCACAGTTCCTATCCATAGCTGTTTACTGCATAATACTCTAGAGACTGGGACTGCAGGTACCCTTCTACAGGCTAATAGCCTCTTCCAGATACAGCCTACATGATCTTTCAGCTTCAGTCTCCCATTATTTTCTGTCACACAGGAAGCAGTTGGTGGTTACTTCTGTCATTCCTGGAGTTGTGTGTTGTGTGTCACTCCAGGACTGAGTACTATGCATGACATTGCAGGGACTGACACTGCTCTGGAAACCTGCCTTTGGACCCTGCAGGCTGATCTGCCTGAACAGTAATGCCTAATCCCATGCTGGATGCATCTGAGCCACTCTCAACCAGCTGAGGTTGTCTAGGGCCTTCAGTAAGGGAGTGGATTTGGGTCAAAATGCATTTCTAAGAGAACTCACTGTGCAGGACAAAGAAATCCATCTACTTTTGCCTTGCAAAGTGTTGTCTTAGGGAGTTCTCTGGATTCACTGGGAGCAGATCTTAATGCGAGCTCTCCACCCTCACCTCCGAAGAGCAGTCCTAGGCTCCATCACTCTCTGTAATCTTGCTATACACTTGAGCACACAGTTTCTGATCTGACTCTGAGGTATGCATATTTCAGTGTAACTCAGTAGATCCCCATTTGTTCCTCACCACAGTAGACCCGAGGTCATTCAGGCCTTTCCTCAATTCAGGCCTTGTTATAGCCAAGCTAGCCACTGGGAAAAGGATATTCTCCTGGGGATAGATGTGCTAGGATTTGGGAGGGTGCTTCTAACTTTTCACAGTTAAGACAGCATTCTCTCCCTTTTTGGTTCTTTTCTCACTTCTATAGAACAAAATGGAACCAGTAAAAAAGGAGGCATATAGGGTATGGGCCAGCATTTGGACCAGGCTTCCTTGGCCCGGTGACTCCAGGACCAAGTTACTGACAGTTAACTGATGAAAGTACTCTGATAACAGAGGGAGGGACCAAGGCACCACACACTTGAACTCCAAACCCAAGTACCATGACATCTTATGGTGATATCAGGGAGTAAATCAAGGAATACTGGGTCACTGGATGGCGAACACAAATCTTACAAAACGATGTAATGACCCTGGCCAACCTTAATCCTAGGATAAGTCCTGAAAAGTCAGTACAGCCAAGTCACACTCGGGGGTGGGAGGGTGGGGGGAAGGATCTGTCATCCAGGGTGAAAATATCCTGACCCCAGCATCTTCACACTGTGATTGTCATATGATCCTTAAAGGACATGTCAGAAAGAACAAAAAGAAGGGAGATAAAGTTTGCAAAGGGTGTAAGAAAGGAAGAGTAAGAAGAGAGTAGGGGGGAGCAAAGGGAAGGAGAATAAGAGAGAAGGAGAGAAGGAAGAGAACTACTTGGGGGACGTGAGGGCCGGAGAAGCGGATGGGCCTCCTGTACTCACGTGTTGTGGAGCACACACCAGCCGCAGTGGGGGTCACCTGAGCCAAGGCATTCGCTACAGCTCCCATACTGCCCACAGGACTCCACAGGGACTCTGGTGAGCTAGGACAACGCAACAGGGAGAAATCAGTCAAGACTTTGCAAAACATCCAATGGAATCCATGGAAGAGGTGCTGTTCTACATGTAACTGCATCATCCTAGACGCTGAAGGAACACAAAGGCTTAGCCCCCCCAGATGATTGTGGGTGATCCCCGGATCCTGGCCTGCATAGCACAGCTGTCAACTATGTTTTTAAAGATGTCCAGGAATACAGAATCCACGGAGTTCCCATTAAGTTATTATAAAAGATACATAGTGCACATTTCAATTTTCCCACTACCACGGCCCCCAAATATCCCTGTGAATATCCAACCCATCCCATCTTTGTTTCCCATTGATACCATCTAGGGGTATGGATTTGTTTTCTCTGCTTACTAAAGAATTAAAAGGCAGGGAAGTTGTTAAAAGCAGACAGAGTAAGGGAAAGAGAGGGGCCCCAAAGAGGAGACCTCTGTGAGGGTGGTTTATATTGTACGGGGCTCCTCCCATGTCTCCACCCCTGGACTTGGTGCTGATTGCTTGAAGGCTGTGCAAGCATTACCCTGACTCTTGGTTGAGAAGACACCTAACTCAATGAAAAGAGCATTATGGAAAGAAGAAACGTTTGAGCAGGAAGTCAGGGACTTCTGGGAAGAGGCATTTGAGCTGGAGCCCAAAGCAGTATGGGAACAGGAAGCACCATGATGGGCCACATCATGTCCACCATTTTTTATCCTTGTGTATCTAACAGCTCATGTTTATTTGCCTTACCATCAGTGTAATAAACCTGAACCCCATTTGTGTGTGTGTGTGTGTGTGTGTGTGTGTGTGTGTGTGTGTGTGTGTGTGTGTGAGGAGGTCCTGGGGCTTGAACTCAGGGCCTAAGCACTGTGCCTGAGCTATTTTGCTCAAGACTAGTGTTTTACCACCTGAGCCACAGCTCCACCTCTGGCTTTTTTGGTGTTTAATGAGAGATAAGAGTCTCACAGACTTTCCTGCCCAAGCTGGCATTTAAAAACATCTCATGTTTACTACAGCATTTCCTTTTCTTTCTGAACCTTCCTTTGGGTCTCAGTATTTCTGTGGTTCCAGCCTTTTGTTTCTCCTGGCCTTTTCCACAAAGGGCCTAGCTCATTCTGTGGCTGGTCCCTGCTCTGCCTTTTTCTCCTTACATCTAGCAACTTGCAATTCTCCTCCTCCCCACGCCCTGTCCTTGACTCCAGGCTTCCTCTCCAACCCCTCAAAACCTCACATTTGCTTTCCGCAGCAGCTTGTTAACGTGAAGTGTTCCACATGACATTTTTGCTTAGATCAAATGCCTCCATTTCCTGCATGCTCTTAAATAACTTTTGAATTTCTTTGTTCTTCAATGCAGCTTTGCCTTGATGTCTCCTGATGTGCCTCTCCAGCACTCACTGCATAGTAGGTACTTACTTATAGGCATCAAATAGAATTTTTATTTTCTTTTTATAGACATGATGGTCTTTATTCTCCATTTTGCCAGTTTCTTCTTTACAAAAAGGTGTTTTGGTGTTTTTTTTTTTTAATTCTCAATAGAGGACTTCCTGCCTGGTCTTTCAGCTTGAGCTAAAAGAATCTGGTGTGGTTTTTCGTCATCAGACAACAGGCGCAGAAAACTAGATTGTGTTGATCTGGCTGGGCCTCATTGCTCATGAACAAATGGTATCTTTTCCCTGCTGTTTCCTAGGGCATCTGCCTGTGTAAAATTATGTCCACCTCACAGGGGCTACTTGTAACTCACATGTAGGCAGATTGGCACCAGCTCCTGTTCAATTAGTCTTGAAGGTCTCTTTTGGAATTAATCTCAAGTCCCACATGATTTCTTTCCCCTTAATTTTCTTATTCCTTTTATATGGTTGTGTGTGTGTGTGTGTGTGTGTGTGTGTGTGTGTGTGTGTGTGTGTGTACTGGGGTTTGAACTGAGAGGCTGGGTGCTGTCCCTTAACATTTTTTTGGCTCAAGAGTGGTGTTCTACTACTTGAGCCACAACTCCATTTCTAGGTTTTTGCTAGTTAATTGTAGATAAGAGTCTCATAGACTTTCTTGCCTTGGCTAGCTTTGGACCAGAATCCTTAGATTTCAGCCTTCTGAGTTGTAAGAATTATAGGCCACTGGTACTTGAACCTTTTGTATGTTATTTTTTGTTCTTCAAACTATAAATTGATTCTTTTTAATGACTACCCAGTGGCTTTCTTTCTTTCAAGTCACCTTGCAGTCTCTTACTCTCATTCTTCCAACTTTTCTCTTGACTTTAGCAGCCCTTTCTTGATGTCTTTTTTGCACACTTAGAATTTTATCTCCCCTTCTGATACTGCTCAGGTAATTTGCATGGGCCAGGCCTGGGTTCTATCTGCACATGACCTTGCTGTCTTCATAATTAACCTTGACAATCAGTCTCTTACAAATCACCCTGCTGGTTTCACATGCAGCCAGAAATTTACCCTCTTTTTCATTTCCTTGTCTGTTCCTCCTTAAGCAGGCACAACCATGCCAGTCACGTAAGCACATGCTTAGTTGCTCCTAACCCAAAGGACCCAGACTCCTAGGAATTCATGAGTGGGAAGGAAGTTCACAAGCTATTTTCAATATTTCCAAAAGCCTAATGGAAATTGGATTGTTGCTGTTTTATGACTTTATGCATACTCATGATGCATGCCCTATATTAAAACTAGGAAATATATTATTACTTAATAAATGCAGTTTGTTTAGTAGACAGAATCTTTCAAAACATAATGCCCGGAGGGAGAAAAAAAATAATAAGAGGGGCCTTAGATGGTAAAAGTTGGGAACCATAAGAACATAATAATGTTTTCATCAGTTCCAGCTGTTTGGCTTTCCATATTTTGCCATGGTATTGAAGAGAAAATCACGGCTTGGTTCAACAGTGTTTTTCTGGGTCTAAAACATTCTCCTCAGCTTCTCCTGTTGACATGTCCTGTAATCCGGGTGGGATGGCATGTGTCCTCAGCTTCTCCTATGGACATGTTCTGTAATCTAGGTGGGATGACAAAAGCCCTGCAGTGCTGGGGATATGCTACTTTAGGTAAAGAGCCAGCTGCTTCGTGAATATGATAGCCTCAGAAACCTTTGCATTCTAAAAGTATCTTGCACGTAGTGTTTAAGAATATCAATGCCCTGGGATTTTAAAGTCCTCTTGATTTTTAAACAGGAATCACTTCTTACTGGGGTGGAAGGAGTATAGGGTCTTGAAGGGCTGGGTTCAAAGTCTGGCTCTGCCATTTATTAACAAGGAGATCCTATTGTCTCTGTGTCTTTGTTTCATTCATCCTTAGACATGGAGATCACTGCTTCCCAAAGTGTAGATAACACCATAGGTATGAAAGTGTATTATAGGCTGGTGGCTCACACCTGTAATTCTAGCCACTCAGAAGGCTGAGATCCAACGATCTTGGTTTGAAGTCATTCGGGGCAGACAAATCCAAGAGATCCTGTATCTCCCATTAGCTAGCAATAAAGCTGGAAGTGGAATTGTGAGTCAAGTGGTAGAGCTCCAGCCTTAAGCAAAAAAGCTAAATAAGAGTGTGCTTGCCTCTGAGTTCAAGACCCAGTACTGCCACAAAAAAGTGCTTTGTAAATGGCTCAGTACTTTCCAAGTAATGTTACTAGGGTATCACCTAGTAACACTGATATCATCATTCACATCTTATTCCTGATTGCTTGTCACCATTTTCTTTCTCCCCTGAGACGGGGTTTGAACTTAGGGATTCATGATTAGAAAGCAAATGCTCTAAAAATTTAGCCATACTTCTTCATTCCACTTTTGCTTTTTAGTTTTTTTTTCCAGTTAGGGTCTGGCTCCCTACTTCCCATCCCAGGACTACTTTGGGACCATCGTCCTTCTTTCTACCTAAACCTCCTGTGTAGCTGGGATTGTAGGTATGGACCACCATGCCCGGCTTTGCCAGGTCACTTCACATTTCCACCACATCACAGAGAACAACTCTAAGAGGCTTCCAGGCCTCATGAAGTCTATTTGGAGTTGAACAGATCTGGGAGACAGTTTCTTCTCTAGTCCCTTCATTGTGTCATTTTTCTCCTTGAACCAAGACATCTGCCTCTAAAACATTCAACCCTCAATCCTTCAGATAAAACTCTGGAGCTATCCCTGGAGCTATCTGAGCTTCCTGGACTTATGTAGTACTTCATCAGCTCTTGTCATGGCTCTGTGTTGCTCTCCAATTTTATGTACGTGGGTCTCTGTGGGAAAGGGTCACAAGTCTGGGGGGCTTTGCCCATGGCTCCCAGGGTGAACATGAGCAACTCTCTGTAGGGCCCTCTTTTCTATCACACGTAAATGAGGTACTGGCAGGTCTAGTTCTAAACTCCTTTTCATTTCTGACGTTCTAGCTCCTTTTCAGTACCCAGACAGACTCTCGCCACACCAATCCTTTCTCCTTTATTTGGTTTTCATGGACATGAACAACCATGGAACCTTCAATAAAACATATCCTAAGGATAATCATCTGGACATGTTGAATTTTCTCTTCTGAAGGCTAAACCAGCCATCTTCCTCTGGCTATGCATGCTTTTACTCTTCATGACTCTTTTGAAGTTGATCTAGTTTATCTTCACTCCTTTTATAGCATAGACTTAAAACTGGGGAGATAACAGAGGGATTCTCACAGACCAAGGAGAACAACGATCATTATTGGTTCATTCTAAGACCCCTCCATGGACCAGAGGAACCTAGCAACTCCCTTATCAGGCTACTCTCACTCCTCTGTGTCCAAGTTAGATCCCACTGGCTGCATCTCTCCCAGCTGCATCATTGTTCTGCCTTACTCCCCACCCCATGGGCGGTTCTGGAAAGCATCAGAAGTTTTCCTGACACTTAAAATCACTACAGAAAACCAGATTTACTCCAGTCACTTACCTTGGTTCATGCATATGTGCTAATGTCCCTGGTTGCCTTCCACACTTTGCTAGTACTTTGCACAAGGATCCAGATGGCTTCAGAGCCACCTTGCCCCTGTAAGTCTC